CACGTTTCTGTGCGACAGAGGAGCATCTACCGAATGACCGAAGTACGGGAAGCCTAAGCTCATACTCGAAGCCTCAATAGTTCCGTGCACTGCCACGTGTTAGTTTCATTTGAAGCGTGATAGCACACAGAACTGATAAAGCCGATGATAAGATTTGTCCACTAAAAAGCGAGAAGTAAGAGCAGAAAGTTATACTGATGTAGCAAGTTCAGAAGTCAAAGCAAGACGAAAAACCTATCAATTAACTGATGACGAGAAGAAAGGCGACGATGAAACAGTAGACGATTTGAGTGATGCATTTTTATTTCAGGTGATGTTGTTCGTTTGATATTGCAAAAAGTAGCGGAATTTGATTTAGTATCAAGAACATGGACACCGGCACCGACTGTGGACCTCGAAGGCGACGATTCGGGAAAGCAACCACCGAAAAAGTCACGGCACCATTCACCAGACCCGGAGCCAGTTGATCTCACAGACGAAACAGATTCGGATCATCAGAGGAAGAAGGGAGCGAGAACAACCGCGTTGTACCCTCAAGTTGGTGATGATGAGCCGATGCATGTAAAGGAACTCGTCAAAACCAAATAAACTTTATTTAATCGTGTTTTTTTTTATGAGACATACATCCATGAAGTTGTTTTTCTACAAAAAATTTCTCCTAGGCAATAAAAGAAACCGGAAAATCTCAGAGTTTAGGTTTGTACCAGGAATTCAACACTAGTGTTGTTACGCCACACCTCAGGCTTAGTTGTGTCAGGCTTCAAGCCCTTCGACGTGCAATCTCGAACTACGGATTGTGAAGCATTTTACTTCCTGGAATGAATAAAAATAATTGTCACTATCTTCAAAATCAGCATCATCTAAGTGCAGTTTAGTCGGTATTACATTATCGACACTTTGCATCATTTCTGTTTTCGATGCGTTGATTTTCAAGTCTCCTGTCTTAAACTCCCACAGCATTATTTTAATCCCTCCAGGGCTATTCGCAAGAACTATATCATCGGCGAAACGTAATTGGTTGGGCGATGCTTATCAGTGATGGATGTCTACTGCACTTGTGATTTGTCGTGCTGTACTAACTTCAAAATCTCTCAGTGAGGAGTCTCGCTAGTCGGTTACCAACAATACCCGTGAGTAACCCTGTGAA